GAAGGTGAGTCGGTGTATTAGACATGTAGTGCAGCAAGATTTTATTTAATGAAAATGGAATGGAAACCTGTCTGGGCTAACGATATATGCTGGCGGGCACCAGTGATGGATGATAGGTGAGAATGAAAAGGTAGGTCAGTTAGCCCATCGTGATGGATACACCTGGAATTCAGCACAGCTGTTTCCAGAGCGACCACGTGGATGACGACTTGGCAGGGTATATTGCTAGCAATGGGATTGGTGGTTCGCATTACTGACAATCTCTTCCCCCCCTCAGCCGATGTGCCGATGTACCCTCTAAGCCGATGTGATAGTCGTTACACCAGCAAGCTTGTCTAAATGGCTTCCTACAACTTCTGGGGATGAAAAGAGGTTATAACACATTGTACACTTACATCCTCGGCATACGGCATGTGAGTCAGTCGATGACATTTTTCTATACATACAATTATTGATAAATATATTCGAATAGATATGTACATACATTGTCAGCTTCAGTACTACTGACCTACAATTAGAATAATCAACGTCATTGTGCATACAGTAAATAAATGGCGAATACTCCGAGCATAAGTTCACAGTGCCTATTGTTATGCAGGTCACACGTTTTGCTGTTAATCATTTGGAATCTAGATGCTTGTGTCTAAGTATAGTAATAAGTATGATTATTAGTATTTATGTGTCCATCCACGTGATAAATAACTAGTCAGTAAATATTAAGATTATCGGATAACAAGTGGTGACAGTTTGCCGTATATAGAGTAGCATCGTGGTCATTACATTAGATACCACGTAACGTAATACACTTCCCATTTTGACGGTAATATGTTTAATACATATTTAGTATATATGTATGCGTTCATATATGTATATAGTTTAATAATTATGTTTTTAAATTTGATAATAGGTACTTATAATATTTTTTTTATTATTTTATGCTGTTGTTCCAAACTTAATTATGCAATATTATCATACAATACATACAATTAGCTATTTAGTTTAAGGTTGTCTTGTAAAGATTGCTTTCAGCAATAATACCGCCTTACTGTACTATGCAACTGTAACGTTACACTTATTATCTTGCTTATTCCTTATATTGTATAATATAAATAAAATATACTTATTCATTCATTGATTTATACATTGGGCTTCAGTTATTCATCCATAACATCTCATTCTGTAAACCAGTTTCTAAAATTAAAATTTTATATTAAAAGTTTTCCTATAGTTTTATCTGAAGAACTATCAGTCTCCGAATTTAAAGTATTTATGAGTCAAAATCACTATCAGTTTTATACGTACTGGTCTTTGGAACATTAATATCATTGCATATTAAACTAATGCCATAATTTTCGAGATAGAGTCGCTTCGAAATCTACTTCATTATATCTCTCATTAATGATAGTAGCGTCTGTCTTTTTAAATAAACTGTACCAAAGAAATACCTAATGAAAAGCTTTTTACTGCAGGAATAAGCAAGGAGCTGCAAACTACCCGAGCAAACCACAGCAAACTTGTTGGATACGAACAAACTCGCAGACACATCTGCTATAATAAAGTCTACTACTAGATTGGTGTTTGGATAAATCCTGACAAGGCAAGATATGAGTGAAAGTTATCCAGTTAGATGACTATTTGAGATTATCGACGGCAAACAAACTTTCCATCTGTCTAATGTTAGATAAGTCCCGGCTGATGAACAAAAAAAGCTGAGTCCGTATTAAAAGATAATGGTCAAATATTTGTTCAAATGTTGGTCGATAAAGCGTTCAGTGTAACACAACAAATCTGACAACTTATCATAATAAAGTAATCGGAAATCGTTGATGACTGATAGCGTATGTATCAAGCTTCTCCAACTGCTTTTGTTGAACGAATTTAATCCTTGCTGCAATAGATATATAGATTATAATAATATCTCAATTTTAATTTTATTATAGAAATCAATTAAGGTTATTAATCGTTGGATTGTCTATTGACACTTTTAATATATTTACTACAATATCTTTTCATTTGAACAATTGTTTCAGTTGCAATTGACTATTCGATATAGGATTATATGTCGCTAACATATTTTTTGGGAGCATTGTTTCTTTTTTTTACTTGATTTGTAATGCAAGGGCATTATTTGATTCGCAAATTCTGCCCACACTTGATCTGCATTTAAATAATACATAACGTCATTACCTAGTAATATACCATGAAATAAAATTTCCAATTATTATATTTGTATATAACACCTAAAATTTTCTCCTAGTATTTTTTTGCCTGAAGTATTATAATTACGTTCTTTTACCGAAAGAATGAGACATGTAACAGAATCAGGGCCAATCGCATACTTCCCACGGCATAAAAGTGCGCGACCCGGAACGGCTTTCAGCTAAACAACGGTTGCTGTTTTGTGGCTGGATGACACTGTATAATTTGCCTCTGCGGTTAACCTGTTCATGGAATTAATTTTACTGTGAAAATAAGCCATGTTAATCATTACCGACCCTATTAATGCTGACCGCCTACATGTAGGTAGGCACTTACTGTCTTCCTACTTAACAATCATAAGATGTTTAGGATTTACAAGTAAACGTTTTTTTTTGTAAGGTACACCTTATAGTTTTTTAAGCAATTTCAAAAAGATTATATATATATATATATATATATATATATATATATATATATATATATATATATATATATATATATATATATATATATATATATATATATATATATATATAAACTTTATATTATATTTCATTCGTTACTTCTAAAACGATATTTTTTTGCATCCATCAGCCTCGGTTAGTTACAATAAAGAAATATATACGAATTTATTATATCCTCTTTTATAATATCAAAAAACATGTACATTTATATATAAATTTTAATATTTCCAATCCCAATTACAATGATATGAGTATGATTAAATTTTATACAACATAGACTATGACAGAACGTTAAACACATTGTGCAAATTGTTTTCACGGTTTTCCATCTACAAAGTAATAGGTAAATTGTTTTGAAACATTCATGTCTGGCTGAGGTAACTCGAGCAGTAGTAGTATTCTGTAAAATCAAACTCGAATCTCACTAGTGGATCCGGGAGTGAGTTAGTATTCTTTAAACAAGTAAGTCGTTGTCACGACAACGGTTCTGGCATGAAATGGGCCACACTTTCCTTTCTCGTGGGGGTCGTATGAGGCGACCAAGGGAGTTTAAAGGCCAAGGTATGGGCAAAAACGTCCCTCTTAAAACATTATGAAAAGCCTAACTGCGGTTGCCAACCCGCCTGCCAAACGTAGTAACTATTGGCAAAACCCCTCAAGAAGGAGCTCTATGTTTAGCAGTGGACAGACGCTTTAATTAATGTGGCGTCGTACTGAACTGGGATAAGTGTGCTACCCTCCTCAGGTACTGACTACTTAAAACAGAAAGAAAGAAATGAATATGTCTATAATCAAAAGAGCAAAAGTCTACGCCTAATTCACAGAAGATCTGGTTAGGAGCTATGTGCGTTCCATCATCATTCCTAAAGCTTACAGAATATAAAAATTACTAGAAACGAAAATTTAGGTGAAGTGAATCGTGAAGTAGAGTGCGAACCTTTACAGAATAGTATAGCAGTACCTATCATGTTTGATGAAACAGGATCGCCGCGATTGGATGACGCTGAGGAACGTACCGCCGAGTATATTGGCTGTCTGGTATCCGAGCTTGAGAGTTAGAATTCCTGAAGTTATTAACTCGTATTAACTGTTAACAAACTTTATGATTTATGTACTAGGGTAAAAGTAGTCAAATAGGCTATGGACAAACTTGGAAATGATAGAAATCAAATGAATGTATTTTCTGGGAGAATAAATCATCTATATAAGAATAGATGCAATGTAATAGATAAATGTTATTTGCAATGAACATTTGACCCAGATGACGCAATGTATTTTTAATTGAATATATTTGTAATTTAAAAGTGCGTCATTTCACCAACAAACAATAATGTATAGATTAGCGAAAACATGTAATTAACAATTGTATTTAATTGGTTAAATAAAACAAATAAATATGTGTAAATAACAATTTCATTATTCGAATTTTTTTTTTATTAAACAATAGATATAGCAAATATTTTTCTCATTTGAAGCTGATATCTTTTTCGCTAGCATTCTTTAGGAATTCTCTTTATTACACAAAAAGCAATTATTCTAAAAGATGATAAATCATATTCTCATTTCTATTACGAAAGAAATTATTCGATAAATCATTCATATAAGAACATTTAAACCGTCACTAGGATGGAAAACTATTTTTTGATTTTACGTACCTTTTCGTCAAATGTTAATTTTAATCTTTTCGGCGGTAGTCACTTACCATCAGGTGAGCCGCATGCTCGTTTGCCCCCTGTGTTGTAAAAAAAATTCTATTCTAACCTGTTATTCTTTATAAATAAACCAGTTTTCTCTCTAAATAAAACAGTTTTTCGAAATAATGATTAATTTTTTTTGTTTTTCTTTGATTCCAATATTTTCTTACAATGTTTTGGATTATAAAATAATTTATCAATACATTTTAATTCGTTTCACCTGACATATTTTATAACCCCATAGCGTTTAAATCGTACAAAATATGGATTAAAAGAATTTTATAATGATCTCTTGGATCTGTTTATTGCTAACGACTCATAAATAATCTTGCCATTGCCGTCGCCGAAACTTTTTTATTTTTCGACTTCTTATCGTTTAATATTTTTTTTCGTAATATATTCGCCTGGTGATAGAACTGGCGAAAATTCGCTACGGCTGTAGCGTAGGTTACGTGACGGAAGCGGAGGCGGAAAGATCTCTTGTCCTGTTCCAGGAGCATCGATTGCCGTTTTTCAGCGTTTGTGTACGAAAAGCGGCTTTCTGCTTTGGTGTTTAGGGTTGTGGTCGGATGGGAGGTTCCCAGAGATGTGTTGTTAGGTTTTCAAAGTGTGTGAGGGATAGCACGCGGCCGGCCGGCACCCGCAGTGCCACGCCGGCGGCCGGCGAAACCGCCCGTCGAAAACAGTTACCGCTAGCGAATGTTCCGGAATCAGTTCGTTCGATAACAGTCGGGGCATTGCGGTAGGTTTCGCTCCGTATGCCGAACCTGCCCATAAATATTCGATATATAAAAAAAATCAGTGATGATAGAATTTTTATACTAAAAATAATAAATAGACCCCTAGTGCTAGTGATACAGTTTTGTATTCAAGTCTAGTGCTTTTGTTTTAATGAAGTGAAATTGCGTATTGGTTTGTATTTGTTAGAAACAACTGTGAATTGCAACATAGCAATAATGATGGTTTATATTTCCACAAAATACGGATGAATGTACATTCATTGTTTAGCTGAATCGTTCGCAAAGTCGGTATCAAGTGTATGGGATTTCGTAATGACGTCGCAGATTTGCGGTGCTTTTGAAATATTGTGCTTTGCTACCGTTTTATTATGTACATCACTAATGATGATACAACTGTAAATATAAAATCGTGTGTATTTTGCAATGTGAGGACATTTATACTAAAAATTATAATAGTTTGCAACATTTTATTCGTTAGATAACATTCACCAACGGAAACTGTGGGTGTCGATTGCGATATAAATAATTATTTGAGGTTGCAAACAAGCAAATTATTATTTGTCTCTCCATATATTATTTTACAGTCTGGTTTAAATTATTTTTGTATATTTAGTATCTAGTCAACAGTTCAAACAATGGGTCGATTCAGAAATGTTACTCTCTATCCCCAAAAATATTGAATGAATTTAAAATTCATAAATTTAGAAGAAAGAAAATAATAATAACACTTCAGATAATAGTAAGATTAATTCTGAAATTATTTTCTCTAAAATCATCACTTTATTGAAGTTTTAATGATATATCTTAGAAGAATATAAAGTACCTAATCTGTAAATATATCGGAAATTTGTTGGAATCCAATAATATTGAAACAATCTAATTGTTTCAATATTGTTCGATATGTACATATAATATATATGTATTATACATCAGTGTCTATGTATTAATCTATAATCATAAAAAATCACGAGTCAGCTATAATTGAATAATTTTAAACTTATTTTTTATGTTGAAATTGTATTTTTAATAGGTTTTAATCAGGCGTTCAAAATATTGCTTTCCTCTTTTGTTTTTCAATTTTCAATCAAAATATATTACATTACAGGTGAAGGAATTAGTATCTATTTATGTTGGAACTTTAAATATTATATTTATTAAATAAATAAGTTTATGCTGATATATACCATATATGATAATAATTAATAAGTTATTCAACAATGCCTATGAAGTTGTGAAATACTTATATTACTGAAATTATTAATAGGTATGCAAAATACCAACCGTTGTATTTTATTTTCCGTCGGCATTTGAACCGATGCTGAGGATCATTAAACATAATCAACTTTTTGTTATAAATTGACTTCAGACAAATATTTTGCAAATCTTACGATTAATGATGATGATAAAAAATGTAGTCTTATAAAAAAGGTCTGTAAAAATCCATAACCACGCCCATGGTCCATAGTGAGTTGCTTGCAGTTGATACATCGATGGAATATGTTTTAAACAGTTTAGGTACGTTTACTTTAAAATCGCCAAAGAGTGTAATCAGTATTAATTCTAGTTGACTTCAAGTCAAAAGTGTTGAATTCGCCAGTATTTTTTTAACATGTTACGCGACACCTTCACTTTTTAATAAAATAGGTTTACTCCCATTTCGATCCCATATGATTTTTTTTTTCAGGATTTAAGTATTTGGATATGACTATTTCACTATAGGAAGATTATTCAAAAAGCTGATACTATGTCTATACATTGTCTATACCATGTTATTCTATAATAATATTTAAAAATAACCAGAGCTGAAATTCTTTTTAACTTTTTAAGTGCCTATATCTATTTATAAAAACATGAAATCTTTGCAAAATTTTTGCGCATACTTTAAAAATCTTGATCAATTTTTCTTTGGAAAAATATGTAAGTTTTGAGGCTTTTCTATTATTTGTCGTTTAGTGTTGTAGAGAATAAGTCGAGAAAAAAATTTAACTGACACATCTACATTGATGATAATGAAGCTAAAGTTAAATCAATTTGAGTGATCGTAGTTAATGAAAAATGACTTGCTTTCTTTTAATCATCAATTTTCATGCCAATTATTAGCTCTCAAAAGTTGTAAAGCAATCATATATTATTACGAACATATGAAGAGTGTAATGTGAATCATAATAATGCAATGATTACAATAAATATAACGGCCGCATTATTTCGTATAAACGTAATGTTGTTATTTATATACTCAATGTAATTCAGCCCAGCGACATCTCGACTCCTTATAAATGTTTTGTTATTTTTAATCCTAAACTTAATGGAAGGAAAACAAATTAAGTGTTATACCCTGCAGCTTTGGCTTGTTATTTATCAAAAGGTGAATATGTTATTTTTATTTCTTTGGAAAAGAAAACAAATTCAAGTATAAGGTGACTTCTATGTTATTATTATTTCATTTCAATCATATCGTTGTTTACGTTATTCACGTATGTGATAAGTACGTGAACATTTATTTTTCATGACAGAAAAACTTTAATAGACTGTCGTATTAGGCATTTCTAAAGATAATCTCATGTCTCACATCAAAGTTCGATTTTTAAGTGATTCCCTTAAAGAAGCAGTTCTTGATCCTCCTCTATTTTTTTTGTGTGTATGTATATTACCCGATAACTATATGAATCCTGAATCAATTTTGGTGATTATTTTTGCAATTTATAGAATTTACTCTCGTGTTGGTCCTGTATTTATTTTTTTTTGCAGAGCAAAATCTTGCTTATAGTATCCTCATTTTTACATTTGATATGTATGTCCGCATTTTAAATTCATGTATATTTATAGATTCTAAAATAAAAGTGAGATTAATAATAGTCAATATAAATTTCACAATAGAAGTAACTTGTTTTAGGGATATAGTATCTACTTCAGTTGTATAATTGTCTGTCTTACTCACCGTTAAATGTACAAAAAAGACAGGTGTATCAAATGTCTCATACACGCGTAACCCTCGTCAGATCAGCCAATTAATTAACAAAATACCTAACCGAACACCGTACTCAATACAATACCAATCCAATTACAACATCGATCTTTGAGGTCGTACATTGAACTTTATATACAATTTGAATTTGCTAATTATTGCCATCAGAGACCTGGAGAGAAGTCCTTATTATTTTATTTTAAGTGACCTTCAATACGAGATTCTCAATTCGCTAGGTCTTTATTTGTGATAGTTTAAGTGATTAGTTTGCTTAATTTTGAATTCATTTTGTTTTTTTTTTGCAGTTGCGTTTACTCCTGTAATGGTTTCATAATTTTTCTACTGATTAAACTTATCATCTTTCTTCTAGGAACTAAAATTTACTTTCTAATTTTCAACGGTTGTATTATTTTTTATGTGTTACCTCATATCTCCGTCAGTTTTACATCGATTTAGAACTTATTTCTTTTTATTTAAAAGACTTATACTTTCAGATTGGTTTCATAGAAATTGAATCAAAATTTGGTTCAGTAGGTTAGTTTTTAAATCATAATAACTGGTTTTGCAATTGAAGTCGGTGTTTTTTTTTCGTGGAACAATCTTATTTCGTTATAATACGTACATTCTAGATTCAACTCGTTGTTTATCACCGTGTGTAATTAATTACGATTGAAATACTTTGTATGTGTATTCAAATTTGAAAATTTTATCATTATTCCCGCATTAACGTGGTGATTACTGCAATAAAATCCTTCTTCGTTTCTTTGGAGGTGTATTTCGTTTATTTTGATCAGATGTTTTTATTGACATTACTAACTTGTTAATTAGTTACAATTAGGAAATAAAATACGTATACAAACTGAATAAATGTTATTGTTTAAGGAAATTATATTGTTTTAAAAACTTTGTAATGTCTAAAGTTCTTGTTTTGTTTGTCTTAATACAATGCAATCTTTTAAGTTATCTGTTATAATAACATTTATTTACATATACATATTTTCTTTGGTTTTTATTATTATTGATTCAGATTTTATCTACTCTTAAATATAAGCCTCTTTGTAGTCTGCCAGAAGGACCTGCCTTTTTTGTATTGTTTTTAATTTCTGTAAGTTTACTACTTTCCGTGTAGTGAGTGAAGTCCAATACTATTGTAGTATTTAAAGATTGAAAAATACAGGGTTTGTTTCAAAATATTATAAAAAGTCTTTGTATATTTAACCTGAACAAATTACGAAGCCATAAGTTCTTAAGACAAAGGCATCTCGATTGTAAGCTTGTATTTCCTATTGAATACGTAATTCGAATAGACTGTAGGATAAAATACGATATCTAATTAACTTGTTTTGACCTATGTGTGAACCGTAATGTGTCACAAGCCATTACCATTATAGGTTAGGGCGTCTAAATATAGAATTTGCGATATAGCTACCGTAATGTCACCTAGATTACTTTGTATTATATTTACTGAGAACATTGCGGCTTCTATACTAGCGTTTATTCACGACTTCGTTCGCATAACTGGGATATGTTATTATTTAGAAACAATTAGATTGTTCGCTAAGTTATTTACTGGTCTTTTTTTTTCTCATAGGAATGAGACATTAAATTGCAGTAAAAATATCCTCTATATTAAACCAGTTGTTAGGTTAACTTTACACTAAATTTTCTCGAAATATGTTCAGTGCATGATCCAGTTACAAAATTCTAAATTTAAAAATTATTAACTTAAACAAATATAGTTTTAAATTAAGTAACTAAAGCTCTAGGTGAAAAAATATCATTGGGGAGCAAGCTAGATTTTAAACCATGGCTGTAAATACATATAATCGAAGTAATGTTTACTCAATTCTCAATTCAAAAGACAAACTTTTTAATTGCATAATAAAAATCGTTACCTGTTACAATGTTGCTTAGTAACAAACGATATGAATTGTATACATAGCAACATGTTGTCATTTGAAAAATAGAATAAGGGGCTTTTTGAATATCTCCCGATGAACATATGGGTCGTCTCATTACACAAATTGAGTTAACATCTGATAACGAACAAAGTATGTGACTAACTCAACCCCCACAGGGATCAGTGTTATTGAACTGTATCGGTCGTTTCATAAGGTTGATCGTAAAATGTTTGTACATATACTTACGTCATTGTTAAAACTCTTAACGGGCCAAAAGTATTTTAAGCGACTCCAAGAGTAGTCACT